TGTGTTCTCTCTGTCAAATAAATAAATAAAATCTTAAAAAAAAAAAAAAATCCTTTCTCCCTTTTGTAATGCTGTAGGAAAGCATCAGATGTATAATAATAGAAACATGAGCAAAGACTGCGAATGCAAGGAAATAGTCAATGACATGTAAAACACTAGAAAAGTGTAACATGTCAGAAAAATAAATGTCAGCATCCATATTTAAAAAAAAACAATACAAAAATTGTGCAAATACTTTTAATTGTATTATTTCCTCACAACAAATTCATTACGAAATGTTAAGTTGTGCCTGATGAGGGAGAACAAACGGGCTTAAATTAATTGGGTTTTTCTCCTCCTTCCTCTTGGACCGCTCCGTTTCCCCCTTCTCCTCCCAAACACAGATCCAGCGGTCACCAGCACCGGCGTAGGCCCCCGTCCCTCATCATCACTAGAGCTGCTGCTGGTCGCGCCCTGGTCGCTGGCGGGAGCTGGGGTCGCTGCGCTCTGCAAACCCGGGCGGCTGGCGGGTGACTCCGGGGCTGCTCTCTCCTGCTGCGCCGTCGCTGAAGACACACACTCGGCGTCCTCACCCGAAGAGGTCCCGGATGACGGCGAGAGGCAGGCCCCCCCCAAAAACCCGCCACAGTTACTCTCTCGCTTAGAATCAGAAAGCCTCTTTCTTTTCAGGCTTGATGACTCTTTCCATTTATTTGCTAGCCTTCTCTTCTGGGTGTTTCCTTCTGCCTTATCAGGGAACTCAAAGTCGTTCTCCATGGCAACCGACACTGCTTCTATTTCGCTGGCTGTGGCTTCTCTCTCTTTTCTCAGCATACAAGTCACAGCTCTGTTCAGTCTCTGGCTCCTAATACCCTTAGCATCTTGTCTCTCCTGTTGAGCTAATCTAAAGAAAGAATCAATTCGGAGCTGCGTCTAAAAAAATGAAATGAAATGATAAAAAAAAAAAAATCAGGCGAGTCAGTCAACTTTCTGAAGCAAATCAAAGAGCTCCACCTTGGGTGCCTGGGTGGCTCAGTCGTTAAGCGTCTGCCTTCGGCTCAGGTCATGGTCCCAGGGTCCTGGGATCGAGCCCCGCATCGGGCTCCC